ATAAGGAAATAATAGGAGAACAAAGCTCGAAATTAAAAAAAAAAAAAACAATTCTAACAGAACAAAAACCACTAAACGACGGCTGTTTATAGTTGGATGAAAAAGAAGTATCGAATAAAATAAATTAAAATATAGTGTAAACAAATATAATGTAATTGAAATTTAATAAAGCTTAAGAAAAACAAGCTTCATTTGCTAACTGGTGATCGAATTGCATTCTAAGCTTTCATTTATGAGATATTCTGGATTAAATTTTTTTAATTAGTGAACAAAAAACTATGATCTGATACAAAAAAGTTCAATTGACTCATACTTTGGTCAACCGCTAATTCAATTATATTAGATGCATCTACCTCAATCTAAATTCTTAAAAAATCATAGGATTTGCCAATTTCCAACACCACAATCAAACTTTTGTGATTTTTTTTTTTGGTCCATTTGATCGATTTGGGTTTCAGAAGCTTAGCATGATTATGTAAATCAAACTGATTTAATACACTACCGGTAAGTTTCATGCTTTCATATATTTGAACCCCATTACAAAAACATAACAACAAAGATTTTAATATGGCAGATCTGGACCCTTTCATTAGACTTAACCAAATTATTAAAAAAGGTTAAGGAATAGAACCAACTAGAGGCAAGTTGCTTTGAAAGAGGATTTAAAGAAGTTCTAGACCACATTGAGTAGCAGGTTATTGATGAAAGATGCTGCCAGCAGTCCCAATAAAGTCATTAATTGGTTCTAAGTCTCAGATCACAAATAAAACATTCTTTCAAGTTTCCAAGAGAAGAAAGAGCAATAGAATGGAATGCAATCATCCCACGTTGGTTTCCTGAGGGTGTGACGAGGGAGGAAGAAAGTGGGAGCTTCCTTCCTCTCTTCTCCTCATAGTCACTTCTCCAAATACATCGGAGGCATCTCTCTTACAGGAAGATTCATTCCACTTGCATTCACTACTGTAAGGAGAAAATCATATAGAGGACTCTCTTTATGAAGTCTTCTCTCTAAATCCGCATAGTGGCTGGCAATTTTGAATCAGTTGTTAGCTTTATTAGGTCATTCTTCAAAAACAAAGTATGAAGTCTGTTAAAAAAAAACTATATAAAATTTGATGCCTTTTCAATATTTCTCTTTCACTCCAATCACTTCTGGATCAATTAAACTTGAAAGCTTACTCATAAACCATGAAACCCTTACGTAAATGAAAGTTAAATTCTTAAATATCAAAGCGCCTTTTGGTGTATTTGGAATTTTTGTAAGAAACTCCGCAGTTAAGCTTGCTCATTATGGAGTAATTTTAGGATGGGTGACATACTGGGAAGTTATACCAACATGACAAAACTGTGAGGCTCTTAGGCCAAAATAGATAATATCTCAATAATTAAGAATTTGGGTTGTTACATAATTTACATGTTACTTATTTCACTCCATATTTAATATTCTAAGCACCTTTTTTATCAAGTAAATGCGTACTTCTAACAATTTTAATCAACTGTTATACCTTTCAATTATGAAATATTATTCTTCAATCATTTCTAATCATAATGTTTGGCATATAAAGACCATTTTGTATTTGCTCACGTGAAGACCTCACCAAATCATACATTATGACTCTTAATTTGGTTTATACACAATCATCAAGTGAATCACTCATTCATTTCTCTTGAGAATTTTCTATTTTTATCAGCACACCGGTCTCAGCAGAAAAACTATTTTGTGCGGACACCAGACGTAGCTCTGTGTCTGGAGGCGAAGAAGAGCGCATCACATCACCTGGTACACAAGAGATACACAGCCGCGATACATAGCAAGGAGATGACGTGGCGTGCTTTGATTTACCTCCAGACGGCGTCCGCTATCTACACAGAATAATTAATCCTCTCAACAACTCATCTTATCTTTCCACTTTCTCTTAGCCACCAATATAAACACATTCTCAGCATGGGTGTCAATTCGGGTCAACGGGTTGGGTTCGGGTCCAACCCGAGTTGACCCGGGCATAAACGGGTTGATCCGAGCCAGACCTGTTTAGCTAGACGGGTCAATATATACAACCCGTACCCGACACGCTAGGTTACCGGGTTGACCATACCCGACCAGTGAACCCGAACACACTACAGGAAATTCAGCTATTACCAGTGATTTTTTCCGGCGGTTAACCTGGTATTACCGGCGGTTTTAAAATACTTAACACTAGCGGTGTTAGCCGCCAGTATACCGCCGGTAATATTTAGATCCAGCGGTTAATCCGGCCGTTATATGACCGCCGCTAGTGCCGGTGGCATATACTTTAATAACCACCGTTAGGCCGTCGGAATTAACCGGCGGCCAAACCACCGGCTAAACCGTCGTTATTACCGGCGGATATACAACCGCCGGTCTAGGCCGCTGGTAACAGCTGAATTTCCTATAATGACATATCTGTATTTCCCCTCAGCAATTCTGCATGTTGAGTCGCGCCGCATAGCGACTCGCGGAGAAGCCGGGAGCAGACCGAGTGACCGACGGAGGAGCGGACCGGCGGTGCAGGCGACTCGATGTCTCGACGAAGTAACCGCGGACTTGCGGAGGAGCCGGCAGAGAACCTGCGATGGCTGGCCTGGCGCGGGTGGCTGGCTAGGCGGACCAGGTGACATCCAATCCCTTGAGAGTTGAGACCTTGATTCCCTCCCCCTGTCCCACAGGACCCACACGACATGACCAGCATCCAATCGGACCAATCCCTCGTTTCTCCTAGCTCCCACGCCAGGAAAATTTAAAACAAGCGGAGCGAAATGCCAATTTGGGATCAAATCGCATTCGGGTCTTAAAACGGGTCAATTTCGGGTTAGCGGGTTGACCCGTAGTCTACCCTTTTTTGAAACGGATCAAAAATTGAAACCTCAAACCCTAACCCGACCTATTTCTTAAACGGGTCGACACTAACCCAAATTTTTTGGATTGGGTTATTGGGTCGTGTCAATAATTGACACCCCTAAGTCTCAGTAGTTGATCTCGACAAATCCTCTTAGGTGTCTGTCTCAACATATTCTCTCAACAACTTTCCAATCTCTGCATACCCTCTCAGCAACTCATTTAGATAAATCCTCCCAACTTCTCGTCTCAGCATATTCCCTTACTAGGTCATCTGAACATACTCTTACTAGGTTATCTCAGTAAATTCTCTCAACTGATCCCCTCTCCAAACGGTCTAGACAAACTTTCCCACCTCATGATCTACATATATTAAAAGTTCTCAGCCATATCATGTGGAGCTTATTCGCTACCATACACTGAATCGTCTTGACAATACGTTTAGATGCCCAGAATATTCTCAGAACAACAAAAGTCTGTCACTATCTCCAAATTTAACCAATGAGCTCAATCTCCTTTTCTTCATATATTCAATCTCAGAAAAAATTATTTTGTGCGGATCCAAACATCGTCTGAAGACCAATCAAAACGTGCCATATCACTTATTTGCTCAGTACCGATCCTCAGTAGTGCTATGTACCAGGTGACATTGGGCTTTCTGGTTGATCTCCGAACAGTCCGATGTCCACACAGAATAATTTATGTTCCTACAATAAAAAAACTATATGCAATAGAGGTGAATATAAAAAGTAGAGATTTAAGTTAAATAAGACAAAAAATCCAAACTTTTGAGCAAAAAAGAAAAATTAGAAATTAATTGCTATCACATAATTTAAATATTAATTTTATTAGGTGATCTTCTTAAAATTCAAATAACAGCAAGCATGCAAAAAAGTTTAGGTTAGAATTTCCTACTATCATTTTTGTATTAAGAGTATTAAATAAATTATTTATATAAATAACTGTTTAAAATATATAAGAGATTTATATTTAAGTAGTTATCTGCACTATAAAATAATACTTAAATTTTATTTCTAAGATTAACTTGTATTTTCTTATATTTTTTACAATTAATATGATAGGATTTACACTTGTGGTCAATAAGCCCACGTATGCTATAAATTTCTTATTACACAATTAAAATCACAATATGAAAAAAAATTAAATAAAAATTTAGGCTTTGTTTGAAAAAGCTTTCTTATTGTTTTCTAAAGTAGCTTTCTAATTTAAAATTTTGTATTTCAAAAAAAAATGTACTAAAAAATTACTTTGTAAAACAATAAAAAAGTTGTCTTAAATATACAATTTAAAGATATTATAAAGTAAATAATAAATATTTTTTAACAATTTACTAAATATTTTTTTACATGCGGGCACACGCATCATCTACCTATTTTCTAAGTTTCTCCATCCACCAGCTCTATTGGGCTCTTTGGTGGGAAGGAAATTGGAGAAAAAAAATATATATTTTGCATCACAAGTTGTTTGAGTCTAATGTAAGTTTTAGATAATTAAAATTGCCTTAAAAAAGTGACCAAATACTTTTTTTAATTAACAATTTTTAAATCTTAATTAAAAAAGAATAAGAAAATTTTATCAAATCACCATTGAGACTCGTTTATCTCAATCTTTGAAGAAACAAATATTTAATTTCTCCCTAGTTAAATAAGAAATATAATATCTCTCAATTACTCCTAAATTAAAAAATATATGAAAATCATTTTCAATTCAATTTTCCTATCATTTTTATTTGAAAATGTTGCAAATGAAATTTAACAACACCCAAATTTTTAACATTTTTTTATTTTCATTTATTATTTTTAAAATTTAAAAAATCAATAGTATGTTGATTTTACCTTTTAACTTGTAATAGCAAAAACCTAAGGTGATTTGGCATTGGATAAATTACAAAAAACAAACCCCTATTAACCTATTACTATAATAAATCAAATTAATATTAAAGAATTAAAAAATAAATATCTAAAAAATAAAATGAATTAAAATTAATACAAATAATTTGTGAAGATTAAATTGAATGCATCAAGTATTATTAAATGAATGAAAATTTAAGATCTATAAAAATTATTTCAAATAATAATCAAATGCTAATTATGATTTGAGACTATATACAAATACTGTCAAATAGGTTAGAAAGTTTTTTTTTTAATAAGAACCATAAAAAACTTAACATAACTAAGTTTTAACAATAATATAACTATATAGTTAACTATATACGCATTGCACAAGAATCATAAGGATCCTTACTTCCTAAATTCCCGTCCTACGAATACAGCCTCCGCCTGAGCCCTCCGCCGCACCAAAGACGAACAACGCTGCCGTTAATGGCCATCCTATCCTGATAACGGTACCACCCCAAATCACTTCTCTTCCTCACCCACTCGCCCATACATTCCGACCGCTCTAACGGCGCCGCCAACTCTCCGTCCGCCTCTGCACCGCCGACGAGCTCCTCTTCCTCTTCCCGGATCTCATCGCATTCATCATCGCCGCCTTCCTCTGCCGAATAAGATGAGTAGACCATCGTGAACCGTTCCTTGGTCGTCCGGATCTCTTCCTTCACCAGTTGAGCCATCAGTGTCCTCGGCGGCAGCGGCGGTGGTGGCGGAGAGATTATGGCGGGAGGAGCGTTGGATTTGGATCCAGCGGTGCGGATACGCCAAAGGCCGAGGGCAGCCGTGAGAACAGCTACCCAAGTCCACATCGAGCCGGCGGCGGAGGAAACGAGGAAATCTTCCGGCGGCGTTCCGAACAGCTCCATTTGGCGAAGGGGGGGAAGGATGTAATTTTCGTCTTTTTGGGGGAAAGGGGAGTAATATATAAAGGGTGGGTGGAGAAATCTGAACCGTTGGATGTAGGGAATAAACGAGAAGATGCCCAGCATCGTAAATGGTAGATGCCGTGGGAGATCCTGTTCCGTTTTCCGTGACGGTCTCAATACAACTTGAATAGAAACTTTGAATAGACAAGACGTTGTCGTTACCTGATGCGTGTGGGTATTGAGGTAAATGGGCACGTGCGACTTTGAGATTCGGAATTTATTGGGACTTGCATGCTTAAACACGACACTGCTTTGGCCGAACGGCCCGGACGGTTTCTATAGGTTTGATCGAAATATCATAACTCTCTCTCTCTCTCTCTCTCTCTCAATTTATTTCCTTTTATTCGTTTAGTAACAACTACCCATAATTTTTGGTTGGATTTTTACTATTAAGAACTGTTCGGAACTGAGCAGGCTGTCGAGCCTGCATGTTAGTTGTGGCATACAAGGGTTATTGAAAAAGTTTGATTTGATAAATCAGGTCTTAGATTACGCTGCTCTTCTTGATTTTCCTTTTTTTTTTTTTTGGAGAATTAGGGGCAAAAGCCCATATATTAATAAAAAATGTTACAAATAATTACAACTAAGTATAGAAAACTATACCATCCAAAAACCATAAGGAAAGAAAATAAAATAACAATTTCAGTAAGAAAAATAAAACAGACTCAGGAAAATAAGGACTACATCAAAGCTGCAACAAAAAAATAACTGAAAACAAGTTTTTTTCTTAATCAAACTGACGATCAAGGCTTTAACATCATAGTGGCCATTCTGGATGCCACTGCACTCCAGAATCTGCTTATAAGTCCAGCGCTGTTGCTCTGTAGTTCAAATAGGAATTAAAATTTTTTTACACATTTCAAAATTTTTTTTGGGAGAATTAGGGGCAAAAGCCCATATATTAATAAAAAATGTTACAAATAATTACAACTAAGTATAGAAAACTATACCATCCAAAAACCATAAGTAAGGAAAGAAAATAAAATAACAATTTCAGTAAGAAAAATAAAACAGACTCAGGAAAATAAGATCTACATCAAAGCCGCAACAAAAAAACAACTGAAAACAAGTTTTTTTTTTAATCAAACTGACGATCAAGATAATCAATTGAGGTTAATATTCTCTCTTCGATTTTATCAAAGAAACGACTGAAAAATATAAAGACATGGGGGGAGTTGATATGGAAGATAGTCTGAGAAGCTTCGTTTCTCGAACTTAACTAATTTTTATCTCTTTTTACGGCTCACTTGATGTATTGGTTGAGAGTTTTGACTGAGAACTAAGAAATTTAGAATTTGAGTCTTGTGTATGTAATGTATGTATGAGTTTATCTTAATTGACTTAAATATCTCGGAAATAATTTATACTCTTTCACCTATTTAGTTCCTTAGCTTCCGGAGGAGATCATATGGACTCTTTTTTGGTATTATGTTTTGTCTAACTTGTCCTTGATTTATATTTTTTGATTTGTTTTGTAATTTATTTCTTTTTTATCAATTTAAAGGGTGACATGATCACTCAGCTTTTAAATTAAAAATGCCCTGTATTTTTAAATCATAGTTTTCCATCTAAAAAATCCGGCTTAGTAAATGTATTTTCTCCTTATTTAAAATTGAAAATAAAATTTTTATTTTTAGTATCTGTAGTTTAAGCTACGTATTAATTTCATCATAAAATATCCAATCAAATAATTGAATGTCGCAAATTCGTCATTTTGTAATGCCTGTTTTCTAAATTCAAGCAAAAAATTGAGCAATAAGTTAAATAGGGGAGGCTGAATATGAAATAACTTGGATAATTGCATGGGTGCAAACAAGTAGAGTCGAACTCAAAGTCATCTCAAATTTGAGGTTGAGCTTGGTTAATTAATCGAGTTTGAGCTCGATCAGGCTTCTGCTTTATTCGAGAAGTTCGAGCCGCTATGAATTCGAGCTTGCTCATTTATTTTGAAAGAGAGAAAATGCTTAGATTCATGCAATGATAATAAAATGATGAAAATAATGAGAAATTAGAAGAAATATAATGAAGAATCACTTAATAAAAATAAGTGAGATATAATTTATAAATATTTTTAACATTATTGTACTTAAAATTCTGAAAGTTAATATATCTTAAGTGTATTTTATATTCATATTTTTTAAACGAGTTGGCTCATGAACTAATTAACTAATGAATTAAGTTAGGACTGGTTCAAACTTTGCTCGTTAGCACATCAAGCTTGAGCCTGCTCACAAGTTAATTTGACTCACTTACACCCTCATAACTAAACCAATGGTTGCTGATCCTTATCTATTTATTTCTTCGAGATTACATATGTGAGATTTAAAGGAATTAAAATAGGGGAAATAAAAACGAAAATGTTAAAGAAATTACATAGAAATTAGCTCTCATCAATAAAAAAATATTTTGGAGAAATTTTGTGAAAAAACATATTATTTTTACTTATTGTTTTTTAGGAGAGAATATGTGAGTAACAAATGTATTATGCATTATTTTCTAGATAAGTCCTTTGCCCTATTACGTAGGTTGGAAAATAACCATGCAGTAACATTTCCTACGATTCCACCTATTACAGTTTGCTGTGCTCAGTACTGTAGTAACTTTAACGCAATAAAATTTACTTGGCAAATATATCATTAAAAAGTTGAACATAAGAACATCATCTTTGCCAGAAAACTTTGCCAAACGCCTGTTTCTTAGGCTTTTTCAATGCATAATTATGGTTTTTGTTGACAAGTTAGGCGCTGAAGGACCTACCTGCTGCATTAAGAAAACTATTCTGGCTGCGTTCTAAAAATACCCAGATCTCTTGTGGCGGTGGTAAGGTGTACTGGAAAGGAGACGATGGCTTGTTTTTATATATTTGAACTGATGTGCAACTGTTAGCATAATACACACATTGTATTTATCCCACATGTACACTCACTTATTTCTCTTTTAGTTATACACTTATATAAGCCCTGTAACCAATACTTTTGTCAGATCAAGCATAATATACAAATTGTCTTTTCTATTCACTCCTGCATTTCTTTCCTTCCATCCGTTTCCTCGCCTTGCTCTGTTTCTCACATGGTATCAGAGCTCTATATCACATGGTATCATAACTGCTAACTACCTCATCAACCGGCAACCGTCCAAACCGCTGGCTCTTCGCTCTCCATATCAACTGCTGTTCAACACCAACCCAGACTATTCTCATCTCAGAACTTTCGGGTGTCTCTGCTACCCGTGGATTCAACCTCACACCAAAAACAAATTCGAACCACGGTCTCTCCCCTGCGTACTCTTAGGATACTCGCCCAACCACAAGGGATACAAATGCTACAACATCACCAATGATAAGGTATATATATCTAGACATGTACAACAACAACAACAACAACAACATCAAGCCTTTATCCCACTACGTGGGGTCGGCTACATGAATCCTTTTTCTCCATTGTGTTCTATTAAAAGTCAAATTCTCATTTAAACCTAATAAAGAAAGGTCATTCCTAATATTTTCTAACCAAGTCTTTTTAGGTCTACCCCTACCTTTCTTAACATAAGTCAAATCTAATACCTCTACTCTCCTAACCGGGTCATCGAAAGGCCGTCGTTTTATGTGAATATCTAGACATGTACAATTTCAAGAAAATATATTTCCTTATCACAGGAACATACCTCCAACTGAGGGAAACAACCAGTCCGCCACTCCCAACATCCCGCCGCTACTACTCGTTCCCGCCTCAACGGTCTCCACTGCCTCTCAAATCAAGACTACTACGCTTCCTAAACATATTGAACATTCCATCATACCTACAGAACCATCTCAATCCTCTCCGATGAAGCCGCTTGTGCCACAACCAACGTTACCTCCTCCAACAGCAACAACAATTCATCCCATGCAAACCCGCTCAAAGTCCGGAATTACGAAACCAAAACAGATTGTCTCACTGCTAAGTCATTCCGAATCACAACATGTGCCAACCACATACAAGCAAGCCTCACAACACGAAATATGGCGCAAAGCCATGCATTCCGAGTATCAGGCCTTAATAAATCAAGGGACGTGGTCCCTAGTTCGCGCTCCCACAGACAAACCCATCATCGGCAACAAATGGATTTACAAAATCAAACAGTTCTCAAACGGACAAATTGAACGCCACAAAGCACGCCTTGTAGCACTCGGTTATGCCCAAACTTTCGGACAAAACTACAGTGAAACCTTCAGCCCCGTCGCAAAAATGGTAACCATTCGACTTCTTCTCACTTTAGCTATTAACCGAAATTGGACAATGCTTCAGCTCGACGTGTCCAATGCTTTCCTACACGGCGAGCTCACGGAAGAAATCTATATGCGTCAACCCGTCGGCTTCGAGGACCCCAATCAACCGGACGCCGTCTGCCGCCTACATAAATCTCTCTACGGCCTCAAACAGGCTCCGCGACAATGGTTTCATAAACTCACCTCCACTCTTCTTTCTCGCGGTTTCAGGTTCAGTCGTTCCGACCCTTCACTCCTTATTTACACAAAATTACACGTACAAATCTATCTATTAATCTACGTCGATGACATTCTTGTCACAGGAAATGATCCATCACAAATTCAACAATTACTTCAGGATCTCCACTCAGACTTTGCTCTAAAGCAACTTGGACAGATTTCTCTTTTCTTAGGCATACAAGTAACCCGCACTAATACCGGTTTCTTTCTCTCACAGGCTCACTATGCACAACAACTTCTTCAAGAGGCGGGCCTCTCCAACTGCAAACCAGCCCTCACACCGATCACACCAGCTTCAAAACATCAGACGGACAACACCACTCCCTTTCCCGATGTTACACTCTACCGTCGGCTCGCAGGATCACTTCAATATCTATCCATCACAAGACCCGACATCGCATTTGCAACAAATCAAGTCTGTCAACATATGCAATCGCCAACCGAGACGGACTTTCAACACATAAAACGCATCT